TTGGGGCCGGAGCTGATCGTATCTCGAAAATTTCGTAAGTAGGGGCGTTTGTAAGTAGAGGTACCACTGTATTTCTAAAAGCAGAATGCATTAATGCCAGCCATAGGTTAAACTGAAGAATACCAGGACCCTAAGGTGAAGAAGTATTTCCCACATGTAATAAAGTTCCTCCAATTTATCAGGGTGGTGATTCTGAAATTTTGTTATGCCTAAAATGGGGAAGGAGAAAAGGAGCTACAGCTATTATCTTATTGCCGCATACCTGTGTAGTGATAATCTGCCAGTGGGTGGCTTGGAGAATGCACCGATTTCTTCAGCAGCATTTTGGTCAAAGCAGCCTGAAGGGAAAACAAAACCAGTTTCAGCTCAAATAATAAAACCCGAACAAGGTTGCTACTGCTAAACAACTTTGATCTTTACTGCTTATTGTTGTGTATATTTAGGGTTTAGGGCCTATCTGACTAGTAGAATTCAGAGTGAATACCGTTGGCTAATTTATCCTTACAACTAGCCCTTTGACACAAGTAAGTGGCACAGGGCTAGCCTGTTTAGCAAGAACAAGGGGTCACAGCACATTAAAGGCTAACCAACCTACTAGGACTTAAGGTTTCTTGGGCCAAAGATCATGAAGCTGAAGTTGTTAAGTGAAGACTACATGGGTCATTATGCAAGAACCTCAAGTGACCGCCACTTCCAACTTCCTGCCAGTTTCCCCCTTGACTTTGCTTGTGAGAAACCGGCAGAGGACGTTGGAAATCGTGATCACGTGACTGTGGCTCGCTGCGATGTCATAATTTTAAGCCAGGCACTGAGCATCTGGGTTGCAATCATCTGACCGCAGGGACGCTGCAACGGCCACAGTTACGAGGACCCGTCATAAGTCCCCCTCATTCAGCACCATCACAAGTTTGAACGGTTGCTGAACAAGTAGTCATAACCTGAGGACCACTTGTAATCTCCTTGGTAACTTTTTGGGAGAAGTGAGGATCACTAAATTCAATAGAGTCACAATAAAACTATGCCTTACAGAGACATCCAAATGCAGCTGCTGACTTGTGAATGGCTGAACTGAGACTAGTATCTCCCTGCTCCATTCCTATAATAATTCTTATCTAGACTACATTTACTCCTTTTTGTTCCTCTTGAAGTGTAGTTTCATCATGTACACAAAACAGAATTAAATATCTATCCCTAAACTCTGTACCTCATTTGATAATGGTCCCTGCTAACATGTGCCCAATAATAATAAAGGACTCTGCCTTAAATCATGATTCTTTGCAGAGCCAGTTAACCCCCCTGTTTAATCATTCACAAGTAAACAGTATTTCACAGCAAGCACATAAAATATGCCAAAGTTATCCTAGACCTTCCAGGAAACCAACCGAGTCAAGCACAATGTAGCTGCAGATATTTCTAATGTTACATCTGTTTTTCTCTCTGAGAATATTATCAAGAGCTACATATGCTAGCTTAATTATTTCCATTAAAACAATTCTATTACACGGACAGAGAGGTTTTATAATTCAGTTTCTCCAAGATGACATCAATCCCATGTTAGTATTAGACAGTCAGACCTTAGACGCTAACAGATAACCTCAGTTTTGTCTGTGCTGACTGACTGTAGCTCCTCAGGGTTTCAGACAGGAGCCTTTCCAGCCCTGTTATGGGGATAGTAGAAGTGAACTGGGGGCATTTTGCACATAAGCATGTGTTCTAGCATGGGTTGGGTAGCATAGCTAAGCCATAATGTCATTTATCCAGTTTTGCTTGTAGTGTGAATCCAATCACTGCAGTTTGTAAAACATAGTTTATGGCTATACACGTTAAATAAACCTAGCCAACTATCACTTATTCAAACAACCACTGTTAAGCAAAGCTTAGCTTTGATAACACCCCCTGTAGTATTAACTTAAAGCAGACTTCCCCAACCTGATGCTCATGCTGGCTAGGAATACTAGAAAGCACCAGACTGGGAAGGCTGACCCACCAATACCAAATTTATGAAGGCCTAGAGGCAAATGACCATGAGCAATGGAAGGATAATGGAGGAGAGTGCCTAGAAGAGCTGCCAACAGCTCTTGATTTGCCCCACTCAAATCAGCTACAGGTAAAAGATAGAATGCATTATTATGAATGCATAATAACAGAGTAGTAGAACCTCATATGAAAGTTTGCAAAGTCCATTAGCTGGGCCATATAATACTGTTGGTCCTTGCTAGAGATCAATATTTTATATTTATGCAGTAAACTTTCCAGGTCCAATCAGAGGTTGCTGGAGTCTTACCACAATATCTCCTTTTACTTCATGTAAGCAGTGAAATGCCAGCTCTTGATTGGTACCACCTCCAGGAAATATACTTGAACAAGCAGCTGTTACCAGGTTCTCCACTGTTATATTAAAAAGAAATATCTACCATGTTATGAGATAGGTGGATGAAATAAACATCAATTTAAGAAGAAAACTAGCAAATATATGTACAATCTGGCTTATACACATATACAACCCTTCCATCATTTTGTGATCAATGGGCCCCACTATCACTTAACTGGCAACCTGTGGTCCTTACAATGTGGTTGGATCTTAGTTCCCATCACCCCTGACTACTGGCCATGCTGGCTTGGGTTGATGGACACCAACATTCCCCAGAGGACCAGAGCTTCTTCAACTATCACGTTCATGTTTCCCAGTAACATGGACCACTCCTGATGTCCTACTTTTTACTATTATATTGTCACTATCCATCCCATCCCATTCAGGGTCAGAAGAGAAACATGCATAATAATACTTCCATTTTATGAGAAAAGTATGCCTCAGGGTCATTTTCAGCCCTTACTGGATAAGCAGTGGAAATAAGGAAGGAAATATCCATTTTAGCTTTGACTTTGCCTTAGAATGTTGGGATCCAGGAAGACAAGTACTACTTCTAAGATTTGCAATGATGTGTATTATGTGGGACAGCCAAAAAGAGGGCCCAAAATACAAGGCATGGCCTTTTCTGAGGTAGCCCCTCTTTAAGCAGGCCAGTCACATTAAGTTTTAGAAATAGCTAATGACACCTTTATGATTTAATAGCTTTTCAATGGTTTAACTTAGCTAATATATTATTTGCCTATTGGCCTAATGAGATACCATCTGAAATTGCATGAATTTTTTTTCTCATTTAATGCTGCATATCCTCCAGAATCTGCTCTGTACTTTCAACTTTGGAGCAGATTTTGAGGAGGGAGGGGAACTGCAGGAAGAGAAGCTGCCAGTGGGAGACACCAATTGGATTTTTAGCCAGATTTTTTTTTTTTTAGATCTGGTCAGATTGATGACTTTAAGTGTTTCTGATAAAGTTTGCTTTTTAAATGTGGGACAAAATAATAAAGATAATACTTTACAATTATTATAATTACTCTCAACTTTCCCACTTTCATAATGATTTTCCATTTAGAGTTCACTGATTTGTTGCAAGCTTTAATGTTACAGTGAGTCAAAGGCCAACAATTGGGTTGACTTTTCTAAAAGTGACTTTTAGAAGTTGCACTTCCTCCCTCCTTGTTTTCATGGACAATCAGATTTAAAATTCTCTACCATTTTCTTGGACAGCTGGATTAGTTTCCAGTTCCTCCCATGGCTGCCACACCAACTGTTCCTTGGCCACATCAGAGACTGCCAGAGATTGATCTCGAAGCGGTGGGATTTCTGCTTGAAACCGAGGCCCCACGTTGATCCGCCTTGAACAATAAATGAATATCAACAAAATGATGCACCCAATTTGCCAAAAGCATAACCTGCTTATTTGAAACAAAGGACAGTTTCATGGGTGGCCATGACCTGAAACAGATATAATAATCTTTTCTCATATCTATTTCAACCATTTCAACTGCCTCAAAATAAAAGGTTCTTCTTTTGTATTCTTAGGACACCAACATATGCTAACTAGGAGCAAATGTGTTAAAAATAGAAAAACAAAATTCAGAAGCTTCCAATAAAGAGAACAACTGTAATCTGTTTACTTACATATAAGAAGACCCAAATATGGCAAATTTCTTCACACATGGTTTTCTCATTCTATACGACTCATCTGCTAAGTGATAATTGCTAAACACGTTATCAAGATGCTAAGTGATAATTATGGAAAATTCAAGGGCCCAGACCAAGACAATACTGCTTGTTAAGTCTGCATGTGATATCAGATGCAGAAAAGTTTGACTCTAGTGCCTGAAGCTTAAATCATTGCTTAACTGTTCCATTTATTTAGTGGTCTTGGGCAGGCATCACAATAACCTATTTCACAAGTGTGGTAAGAGCAAGAGAGCATCCCAACCCCCTTGACAGAATAAGAGGAACAAGAAGCACATACAAATTTAAACAACTTGCTCAACAGATATAAACATGAATGTATGAGTGTGTATGCTTATGATACAGACATATATTCAAAATGCATTTGTAGCAGGATTGCAATCTGCCATCTACAAACAAGTGTGGCTAAATGATATTACACATGAGCAATACAATGATCAAACACAATGCATGTTGAGTTCCTAGGTTATTTTGAAGAAGAAATGGATAAATCTGTTAGTCTGGAGATTGGCTTAGTTACAGATATTAACATTATCCTGGAATTATTCAGGAAGTGTTTTGCTTCTAAAAGTGTTTCTTTTAAGCCTTGAAAGGGTTTGGATCTCTCTTCCAAGACTCTAAGAATGATCAGCTATAGCATTTGAGTAGTTTCTATCTACAGATACTGTTGTTAGTTTACATCTGCAGGGCTCCTAGTCATAGGCTCCTGCAGTAAACTGAAATTATGTCAAGATGACAACACGAACATGGTGACATCATGATGCAAATTCCACTCTTCAGTACTTGCATCTCAACTTCTGATGGAAATATATGTTATGGGGTTTGTATCATGACATCTTGATGCATGTATATCACTCCCTCCCCCTTCCACTCTGTCATGGATGCCTATATTCCTAATAAAGCCTTCATTCATTCTATATTCTTGCTCAGTTGCTTTTCAATTTTCACAGGAAATCAGGAGAGAGAAGAATGCTGGGCCGAGTCTTTCCCTTTACTCAAAGCCCTTTGCATCAGGCCAAAGGCACGAGATTTTAACAAGTATAGGATTGTAGCCTTAATTAGAACATCAAATAAAACCTCTTTTAAAAAAATAAGTCTGCAAGACAGCAAACTAATATCTTTTACACACATATTAGTAAGTGACTCCACATTAAAGTGATGTTATGAACTAGCAGGAAGCAGTAACTTGTATTTTTCCTGGTTCCTCCACACTAATGAATGACATTTGGTATTCAAACATAATACCTCTATGAATGAAGGTCCTTAATAAAGCCTGTCTCAAGATACAGCAGTGAAGAGAAATCATTTTTGGCCTGAGGATTAGATTGTCCTGGGCAGGGAGATCAGGACTGGGAAGCAATACCAGGCAGAGTCACCCCCTCATTTTCACAAATACATTCATTTACACTATGAGTGGGGAGTAGGTGACTCTCCAGCTGATGAACTACAACTCCCGGCATCCTCATCATATTGCCTGGAACTGTTGAAAGTTGCAATTAAGCAGCATCTTGAGGACTCCATATCCCTTATCTCAGTTCACACCCTTCCTTCCCACCCCAGCTCTTCAGCTGAGCTGTGCAGACTAGCCGAACAGAAGAATATTTATTTAATTAATTTATACGCCACTCATCTCACTATACAAGTGACTTTAGGCAGCTCTTCCTTCCTTTCTCCCTGGGCTAACAAGAAGCTAAATTTCTCAGGAATGAAATCAGGAAAAGGATTTCTTGTGTGACCAAGAAGATGTCTCTGACATTAAACAATGGCACTATATATTTTTTCAATTGAATACTTACGGTTCAATGCTGACAGGAGTGCACTCTCCCATTACTGAGAGGACAGGAGGGGTGGCTTCTGCACTGTCTGCAAACAAAATTATTTAATTAAGTGTATAGCCCAATCTATCTAAAAAGACTGATGATGATGATGTACTAAGTTATATATAACTCTCAGCTCCATACTTAAGACAAGATAGCAACTTATAGCCATTATTTATTGAGACCATATTTTGATTATATACTGCACCCTTATGCTGCATACAATTACCATGGTATAAACAAATCTCCTCCAACCCAGCACCCTTCAGATGCATTGGGAAAGCAATGCCCAGAATTCCCAGCAAGCCATGAATCCTGGGAATTGTAATGTATATGGAGAACGCCATGATGGAGAGGCTAGCCTAAACAGAACCCAAGATATTCAGCCTGGACAGACAAACGTTCCAATTTATGAGTATTATCTACCACTGTTAGTTGTAATCCATCCCTGGGGATCTCCCATCCCACCCCACCAAGAATATTGTTTAAAAACTTACTAGATCTGAGCAGGGTCCTGTGTGCAGCTTTTGGAGTCATCGGAGGTGGAACTGCATTACCAGCAGCAGAAAGGAAAGCATGGAAATATAGTCCTGAGCCCTCCCGTACTGGGCTGAGAATGGGCGGGGGAGTATAAGGAGGTAGCTCAAAGTTCCTATCAGAAGGGTGATCAGCCAGACGGACAGGTGAACGCAAGTGGCTCTGGTACGGTGTGATATTGGAGTAGACCGGTGGAGCAATGAAGGTGCCAGCTTTGGGGGGTATGAAAAGAGGCTCTGGTCTTGGTCGTTGCTTTGGTTTCCGTGCAAAACCATCCACTTCTTTTGGAGCAGTGCTTTCATGCTATATAAATATACATAAAAAGAAATATGCTTTGTTTCTAGCAGAGGAAAATATTTTATGTCTCAGAACCTTCCCTGCATCTCTGAAACAAGGGACCACCCTCATGTTCCTCTATTCACATAAATCTGTTCAATCTGTTAGGGACTTCAAAGGGAAAGGGAGAAGATTTTCTCCTCCTTCTGCCCTGCCTGCCACCACTATGGGGCACAGAGGACTGTGGATGAAAGAATTGACCAAGAACAGGGAGACACAACTTAAAAACGTAAACCAATCAGCTCCTCAGCCAAAGTATACTAGGGTTTTGTTTGTTGGTTCTATCAGAACTATGTCAATATTATTCTATTACTTCTGCAACATTATTAAATTACACTGCACCTTTTAAAGAGAAAAAAGAGGTTAAAGAGCTTAGATTCCTTTTTTTTAATGCATTTACTTCAAAAGCACATAAGACAAGCTGAATGGTTAGCATGATTCCAAGTTTTATACAGCATGGCCGTACAACTCTGACGAGCATGAAATTAGCAAATGTGAAATTAGCAAAACAGCATTATAGGTAGTCCTCAACTTACGACCGGTCATTCAACGACCAATCAAAGTTACGATGACCTCAGAAAAGGTGCTTTGTGGCCCATAAAGCACTTCCGGCTGTCATAAAGCATTGTGCCGCCGCCACCCCCAGTCACATGACTGCATTTTGGGCACTTGGCAACTGCCTCGCATTATGACTGATTGCCAAGCACCCTGGGATCATGTGATCGCCATTTGCAATCTTCTGTGCCGGCTTCCCCAGAAAGTCAATGGGGAAGCCAGCAGGGAAGGTTGCAAGCAGAGAAGATGGAGAGGAGCTGAAATCTTCAGGATTTGAACTCTGTTTCTGCAGCCCCACAAAGGATTTCCCCTCCGTTCACGGAGAGGAGGGGAAATCCCTTGGTGGGTTGTAGGAACAGAACTCAAATCCTGAAGATTTCAGCTCTGTTCCTGCAGCCCCACAAAGGATTTCCCCTCCGTTCACGGAGGGGAGGGGAAATCCCTTGGTGGGTTGTAGGAACAGAACTCAAATCCTGAAGATTTCAGCTCTGTTCCTGCAGCCCCACAAAGGATTTCCCCTCCGTTCACGGAGGGGAGGGGAAATCCCTTGGTGGGTTGTAGGAACAGAACTCAAATCCTGAAGATTTCAGCTCTGTTCCTGCAGCCCCACAAAGGATTTCCCCTCCGTTCACGGAGGGGAGGGGAAATCCCTTGGTGGGTTGTAGGAACAGAACTCAAATCCTGAAGATTTCAGCTCTGTTCCTGCAGCCCCACAAAGGATTTCCCCTCCGTTCACGGAGGGGAGGGGAAATCCCTTGGTGGGTTGTAGGAACAGAACTCAAATCCTGAAGATTTCAGCTCTGTTCCTGCAGCCCCACAAAGGATTTCCCCTCCGTTCACGGAGGGGAGGGGAAATCCCTTGGTGGGTTGTAGGAACAGAACTCAAATCCTGAAGATTTCAGCTCTGTTCCTGCAGCCCCACAAAGGATTTCACCTCCGTGCACAGATTTCAGCTCTGTCTGGCAGACACCTCTTTTGTTCTCAAGTAGCTGCCTGCTGGGAGGATTCCAGCTCTGCTCGGAACTGAAATCCTTCAGCAGGCAGCTCTTTTGCTCCATCCACTTAACAACCTAGAATATCACTTAACGACTGCAACCAGGAGTGCCCAGGTTGCAGTCATTGAGCAAAGCAGTCATGTGAGCATCTCACTTAATGACCACTTTGCTCAATGATCGAGATTCCGATCCCAATTGTGGTTGTTAAGTGAGGACTACCTGTATCTGAATTAAATTAATGAAAAAGTGAAGGCATCCATTTTGGATAATGTTCATGGATAATTTTTATCCAGCCCCCTCTTCTTC